TTTTTTTTTTTTTTACGAATCCTGTTAGTTTTCTTTAATTCTGCTATCTTTCTTCGTGATTATTAAGTCTCAGTTTACTGCAAATACTAGATTATAAACTCTGCATCTGAACCGTGATATCAGGAAGAAGTTGCACCTCAGCTGGGACCTGGAATGGTACCGTCTACAGTTGATCCAGATGCTGCTGGATTTGGTGAAAAGGGAAACAGAGCACCGAAAAGACAAGTTCGTATCAGTGCATGGAAGCTTGCAAAACTAGATTCCAATGAGGCCATGAAAGCAGCTGCAAAAGCGAGGGCATCGTCCTCTGTATTGCGTCCTGTTGATAACAATCGCTTGCTGGATTCTGAATTAAGTTCCAGTGAGAATGCGAGTGTTAGAAGCAGCTTGAGCACTGAAACTGGAGGAAACAAAAACTTTAGGAACGAGTTGAAACTCTCGCCTTCTAGAAATATTCATGCTCCGAGTCAAGGCAGCCGTGATGAATATGAAACCGGCACCCATAGTGCGAGTAGCTTCAGCAGTCCCAGCCATGTTCACGAATCAGTCACGCTAAGTCCCCTTCCTCAAGCTCATGGTTTGAGCCACTTTGTTACTACTAAGTCTGCACCGAAAGGTATGGCTCCTGACCACCCTGTAACCTCAAGAACCAATCTCCAGGGTAACAATCCTCCAGCGTTGCACACTTCATTAGGGTTTGATGAAAAGACCATGCAAAAGGGTAGCACTGCAGACCCATTACTACTCTCTGCTCCTGCTCTTGCTTCTGCCCCAGCTCCAGCTCCAGCTCCAGCTCTGGGTCTGGGTCTGGGTCTGGGTCTGGGTCCAGCAGCTTCTCTCCTCAGAGATGTTAAAAGGACTTCTGTGGTTTGGGACCAAGAAGCTGGAAGGTACGTCTCTGTTCCAGTGTCAGCTTCAGAAGCCCGGAGAAAATCATCTTTACAACCAGGAGTATCAAACCCTAATACAGCACTGAGTAATTATGAGAAGAAGCCAGCAGTTCCTCCTCGGGATCCTTTGCAGCCACCTGCAGTAAAGCCTCCAGTCCAGCAGTCCGAGAAGCTAATGTACACTGGCGAGTCCATCTTCTTTGGTGGCCCACTTTTGGGAGCTCCAATTAGGGATGGTTTGAGAGCTGAGACAGGCTCAAGTTCAAGAGATGGCCAAAATAGGTTGCATTTAAATTTTCCTCGAGAAACGAGATTCAAGAGGGACACTACCTCAAACCAGCTTCCAGTCTTTGTTCCTGGGGATTTTGAACCGAATTATTATCCATCTGGGTCAGGTCTGAAGTAGTAAATCTTAATCCCGTAGTATTCATTCTTCAATTATTGGGTTGAAATTGGGGAGTATTAGAAGAAACCCCCCGAGGGAGCAGCTTTTGAACTCTCCAGAACCTTTTCCGATCAATTGCAGCCTGCAATGCAACTGAGTGACTAGGTTCCAGCATCTTTATCTCGATGGTGACTTTCCGATCAGTTCTTCCATTAACACGAAAGTAGTTGTTGTAATCAGAGATGATGAATGAGAGATCTCCAATTTCAGGCTACAACCTAAATTAATTTCTCTTGTATGTATAACCGAGCTGCATTCGTGGTCCTAGAAAAAGATCATATCCATCTGATTTGGTTGTACTTTGAGCTTGATAGGTGTTTCCCATTAATCCATTGCTCAGTTTGGTTGTTCACAAATCTTGGCTTGGCTTCCCATTTTATCCATCCATTGTTTGATTTTGCATGAACCCAAGAAAAAAACATGGATTCTATTTTCTTGATGCTTTCAAGTGAAGGAAAAAGTCATCAGACGTACTTGTAAGCCGTGTTCAGGGGAGTTATCGTATATCATCGGCTTCTATTGTAGAGCTACTAGGAGTGCCAAAGAGGAGGTGATTTACCTTGCGACGAATGTCAGTGCATGTCCCAGAATGAATTGGACCCATTGGGAAACACTAATTGTTTCAAGATTTGTTAACAACTTATAACGCTAGTCACTATTTTCACTGGACTAGAAAGTAAGCTCCACAATTCAAAGCGATGAAACACAAATAGAATTTGCTACAAAAGTCATCTAACAGGATATTTGGTTTGTCAAATTAAGTTTTCGTCATATTTCAATCTCTACAAGCTTAATAGGATTTGATATAAATGCCAGCTAATAGGGTATTTGGTTTGTCAAATTATTAATTAATCTAAATCAAAGAAAAAGATCAATTTCATTTATTAGAAAAAGATCTTGCGGTATTATCGAACATATCAGTATTTTAGAAAGGACTTTGAAGGCCCTAAAAAAAAGTTCTTATTAATCTCGGAAGAATAGAAAAAAATAGCAGTAGGAGGATATCCTTGAACTACTAAAACACTTTAGTTCAAGAAAGGGCTTAACATACAACAATAACATCAAAACATTTCTTCCCTCTTTACATTCCATCCCAACTCCAAGAAATTATTACTTTTAAAAAAATATATGAATTGGAAAATGAAAAGCATCAAGAATTCCTACAACCTACAAAAGCTCTATCCTCAAAATTTATTTGTTTCTCACCCCAAGAGTTCCACCACCTCATTCAATGAAGTTGAAACTCTTTGGTACTTCTTTCATTTTCAAATAACCGTAAGATCTATCAACTAAAGTTATTACGAAATATTTTGATAAAATGCAACAATTTCCATTAAATACATGAACACTAAATCATGAAGGCTGCAATAAACAAGCATCCAAGTCATGCCGCAGATGTAATTATTAGTAAACAAGTATCCTAGTAATGTCGCAGACGTTGAACGTCATTAATTATTTTCTATAATAGGCAAGTGATGATTGATTGATTCAGATAAAGACCAAAACAATTATTTAATGATCAAGCTACAGGTATTGTCAGAAAAATTACACACGCTCTCTGTCGGGAAGTTTTTTTTCTATAAATCAATACAATCTGATACATTACTGTCCTATGCGAACTTCTGTTTTATAAAATGCAAATTTTCTTAGTTCGTCCAACGAGTTTCCAAAATTTAGTGAAGCACTTTAAGTCTTTCCTGGCCATCTGCACTAATTACTAATCTTTCTTTGATTGATCAGTTATATTTTGTCAAATAGAGAACACAAAAAGCGGATGCAGATGGTTGGGAGACGTACAGCTATGCCTTAACACTTACGTTACGTTAGTTTGCTATTGTAGCCTATTAGATTAAGCAAATGTTTGGTTTGGATTACAATCCAATTAAAATTTGACGTATTTTAAAAAATGTCTAATTTCATGAGTGTCAATTGAAAAATGTCCACTTTTAAATTTAACACTAAATTGTCAATTATGCCCTTTATGAAAAAAGAAGCAATTTATTTATTTTTTCATTTTGTTGCGGATTTCAAGATGTAGCTTCCATAAGAAGTTACATTAAAATGATGTTCTCAACATTTCAAATGTCATTCTTGATATTTAAATCCCCTTTTTATTTTAAAAGTACAAATGTCAAATCATAATATTAAATTTCTCGACATTTTAAATCTCTAAAATGACATTTCATTCCGAACATGATAATTCTCTACACTTGAAATGTAATTCTCGACGTTTCTGTGTCAACGAGAAAAATAGTATTAATCGTGATTTGACATATGCACTTTTGAAATAAATATGGCAGGTTATGTGTCAAAAATTTATTGGCCAATAATTTTTTTGCAAAAATGTCCATTTCTTGTTTTTGTATGGAATAATAAATTGTTCACAGGGGTGTTTTGGTTCACAATATTCCAAAATGGACATTTTTTCAAGGATTTGTGAAAGTGGACATATTTGCAAATTGACATATGAAAGTAAACATTTCAAACAATTTCCTTTTAAAATTTTAATTGAAGATTAACAATTAATTTTAATCACACATTTTATCGGACCCACAACTTTCCAACTTCATATTTTATCAGCTTTTATCAAAATTCACTAAAATTTTGATTTTAATCTCTACCAAACAAGAGGGATTACATTGATCACATCAGTCACAATCGAACTTTATAATTAATGTCACTTGTACAACTAAAAGTTGAATAGTTTCATATATCTCATCAAACTTTAAAACTCGTAAGTTTCATCACCACAATAGTGAGCCAACCATGGGAGACCTCTGCACGATTTCCACTGTTTGTCGGATTCTTATACGCTATAATAATATGTGTCTATTCATTTAGCATTTGTTTGATCTACACGTCATTTTATTAATTTAAAATTGGGTCAATTGTATGCTTCTTTCCATTGCACATCTTGTTCGTAGTGATATTTTATCAATATAGTCTCCAGATGATTTTTTTTTTTTAAATGTAAAATATAACATTATGATAATGGGGAAAAAAAACTAAATTTCGTAATTTTGCCAAAATTTAGTCACAAGAAATTTCCTCCGCCCACGCTAGACCTTACATTCGCAACCTCGAGTTTAGAAGAAACATTAGGATTTTGGATATTGTAAAACGAAAAAATAATAATAAGAAGAAGAAGAATAATAACATATTGAGGTCCTAGTTGCTATATTTACAATAGTTGAGGACCCCTCTGTAATTTCCCTAATGGAATATTCTATTGTCAAAACCAAGAGGAGTCGGCAAACCCGTGAACTTTTATTGTTGACCATAAAATATAAATGCTCTAATAGGGGGAATAGGGTAGGGTGGAGTGGCGTCCGAGTTATAACCTTGCTTCTAAGAAGCATAGACCGTTCGTTCTTTGAGGAAAAGGCTGAAGGAATTCAAATTCTAAGGGCTTAGGAAAAAACAGGAGGCTATAATTCAATGTATATGATACAGAATACTATATATATACACAGGTTCATAGCAGGACTAAACATTCAGACAAGAAGATAAAGAATTGTGATCCTATATTGTATTTGTTGCTGTCAAACCTCAATATTTCCAAACATTCTTAATCACAGAGAAAATGAGCGTAGAAGTGTTGGATGGTGCCACCATTGTGAACTTCGTGCAGGACGAAGAAGCATTCAACGCATCAGTTCATGCCCGTTTTATGAAACTCGATAAAAATCACGATGGTCTTCTTTCGTACGACGAGATGTTAGCCGAGTTACAGAGTCTGAGAGTCTTCGAATGCCACTTTGGTGTTGATGTCAAGACTGATCCGGACGAGGTGTCTCGAGTGTACAATGCAATGCTTGTGCAGTTTGATCATGACTTGAATGGGACAGTAGACTTGAAAGAATTCAAAGAAGAGAGCAAGAGAATGATGTTAGGGATTGCAAATGGATTAGGGTTCTTGCCTGTTCAAATGGTGTTGGAAGAAGGCAGCTTTCTCAAGAATGCAGTGGAAAGGGAATTAACCAAACTAGCAGCGGCCTAAATTATCAATTTGAGATTCAGATTCCCTTTAGAAATGTGTAATAATGTCATCAACACACACAGACACACGTGGGTGTGTGTTTTTTTGTTTTTGTTTTTGTTTGTCGTGTCATAAACTGTTTGCTTCAAGTTTTTTCAATAATCATTGATTCCATTTGCAACACCATTGCCCTTACCCAAAAAAATATTACCCAAAAAAATAAAAATATGCCATAGCACAAAAATAGACGAGATTTTAACTTCTCTTTTACTTTAACATTATCTAATATTGCACAATACAATTTACCAAACGTGTCATGAATGTTTCTGAGGATAAGATTTTCAAATGGCAATCAAAATCATTTTTTTTAGGCGAAGAACGATAATTCAAGTAAGATGCAAATATAAAATGGAGAGCATTAAATGCCGAGAACTAGAGAAACACACACAAATCAACACAATCTATCGAATGACTATTTCAAGAAATACAAGACATATAAGTCAAAGTAATGAGATCAATTTCATTGATAAGAAAAAGATCTTGCTAGAGCATATCAGTAGTTTAAAAAGTGGGCTTTGAAGGCCCTGAAAAGACGTTCTTATTAATCTCAGAAGAATAAAGAAATAGCAGTAGGAGGATATCCTAGCCAAAAACTACAAGTATGATCATGTTTGCAGCTTTAATCATGAACGCGCTCTTGACATTTCTGTACTAATGGAGACCTTTTTCTTGGAAGAAATTTCAGATCAAGGTCAGGAAAATGACAATTTGAAACCACTATACACATACAATTAACTCTCAAACAAGAAATCACCAAGAGATAAATTGTGAAGAGGATCCCAGTACAAACTTTTTCTCATATTCACAAAATCAGAGAAAATAGTGGCCCGATTACAAACTACTTAATTTGACTAAAAATTATCACACTCTTGAGAAAGGTGCTCCTACAGTTCTGCTCAAGACATGCCCCTGACTATCTATTATATTCTTTCTTTAGTTTATCCTCTCACCTTCATTTGTTAGCATATTGATGGGGAATGAAGATAAGAATATCCTCAGTAGATTAGGAACTAAGTTAGATTACCTCATTTTAGTTTATTATAGTTTTCTAACTTGACTAGAATTAGGATTTTATTTTATATATTTTCTACTTTGATTTAATTTAGGCTTTGTTTCCTTTGCTTTCTTCTTAAATTAGGTTTGCTTAAACTCTATGTAAAGATAGTTATTCATTGCAATACTTAGACTTGATTATTGAATAAACTCATATTTCTCCCGCTAATTTCTTTGGATTTCTCCCCTTTCTTCTTTCTTTCTCTCCCTTTCTTCTCAAGTCTCATTCTTGTTCGTTGCATCTTACAGTAGTTTGGTATCAGAACGCAAATTGTTTTCCTTAGGCCAAAATAAATTTCGTGAAGTTTCAACAGGTTTTCGAATCAGGAATTCACTGTAACAGCTACCATTATACACAAAATCTGACAGCCACTGCCATTCTCATCCTCCGCCACCATCTCAAACCACTGAAACCATCTTCAATTCACCGACCCCAAACATATAACCAAGCCCAAAACCCATCACACCAAATATTACTGCGAAAAAAGGGGTCGGAAGAGAAGTTTGTTTACTGAATTGTTTCGAATTCTCGTTTATTGTTATTATAGTTAAGTCACAGAAAAAAATTTCCACCCGACAAAATAGTCACACCGCCTTCTTCAGTTTGCATTGGAGTAGTTTCTGTTCTTTTTAGTTGAAAAAAAAAATCTTAGCGGTTCTTATTTCTCAAAGAGTGTGTTTGATTGACATGGAAAATATCACCTAGAAAAGAAAATATTTTCCATCTTTTGTGGAAAATAAAAACCACCTATACCCAAGGAAAATGTTTTCCTTAAAAACAAGGAAAATTAGGCATATTTTCAAAAGTTGGAAATTATTTTCCATGGAAAAAAATAGCAATCAAACCCTCTAAGTGGAAATTTGGATGGAAAATTGATATTTTTCATGGAAAAAAATGTAATCAAACACACCCTAAGTAATCCATAAATATATATATATATAAGTTTAACCCCCAAAATGTTGCGGCATGCCACTTCCTTCCACCACATCACTATCTTCGCCTATGGCCCTGTTTGAGCCCATTATTTCCTCATTAAAATAAAAAAATATAACATCCATTCATTATATCAAGTTGCCATATTTGACTTTTTATCTCTTGGGCCCATAACGACTATATTTTTCATTATCATTTTTTACAATAATGTGGCTAAAAACATATATCCCATAACCTACAAAAGCTCTATCCTCCAAATTTATTTGTTTCTCACCCCAGGAGTTCCACCGCCTCAGATGCTCGGACTCTTCAAAACGATTGGAGTAGCTGTACTGGACACGACACGACATTAGTATGGAATATGTGTTAGATCCTCTAATTTTCAATAGGACACTTCAATGTTTTTGCTTGTTCTTTTTCTTCTTTCTTCTTTTTTTTTTCCTATTCCTTTTCCTTTTCTTTCTCATTTTTGTTCTCTATAAACCTACCGCCGCCTCCTAGAAGGTGGAGAAAGGCGACGACGCAAGATTTCCCCTTCTTTTTCTTCTTTTTCCCTAGTCTCTCTTTCTGTATTGATGATTTAGGATTTTGTTTGTATAAAATGAAAATGAGTTCTATATAGTGTTACTTAGTACTCCACTAAGTACGAATTGCAATCAATCCCCTGATTTTTTATTTTATATAACATTTAGTAATTAACTTTTCAGAATTGAAAACTAAACTCCAAAATTCTATTTTATTCGTCTTATTCCCTTATTTAATACTCATTTCCTTCGTTGTAAACAATTGATTTTGGCCTATTCAAAATGATATTTTGATTTTGTAAAAAAATTGAAGTTTGAAAGACGTATCCATATGCCCGTGTCTGAAATTTGAACTCTTTTTAGCTATATCCCCGTATCCTATATATTAGAAAATAAAAGATTTGACACTTAGATACGTATCCGTACCTGAATCCAAGCATCATAGGGACCACCACCTCATTCAATAAAGTTGAACTTCTTTGGTACTTCTTTCATTTTCAAATAATCGTAAGATCTATCAACCCTTGTCACATAGTAAACTCTCACTGGTATTTACCTTATAATCCTTGCACAAATACATATCCACCTTCCATGGTAAGAATCAAATACCTTTGACAGAACTTCTAGCCGTTTTTAAAAGTTTCAAAGAGTTCGACTTATCAATAACACCAAGTCATAAGCAAAAATTCCAGAATAGTAGGCCAGTATTGCTTCATTTGGATCCCCAAGCAAAACTTCGGTGTAACCTTTCATGTCAAGAGTTCACTTCCCCACATGATCCTGAAATTACCCCCAACAATAATCTTATCTTGACAAGGGTTTGCATGAGTCAACCCATTATGTCATCTAAGAATTATTAATTTCTTGATTTATCTAATCCTATTCATGGAGCACGTGAACTAATAAAACTAGGTCCCCGTTTGTTTTTCATTCTTTTCTCATTAAAATGAAAAATATGACCATTATCAATCACATTAAGTTACCAAATTTAAATTTTTATCTCTTGTATGGGGCCCGTAATGACTATATTTTTTATTCTCATTTTTTCAAAAATGGAAAACAAACGGGGACTAGTACTCTTATCCAAAAAGAAGTTTGACAAATATTAAAAGCTATACAATTTCCCTGTATGCATTTATGTTTCCCACTGATAATTAATGTTTAAAGCAACTGTTATGATAAAATAATAAGTAATGGTATTAAAATTATCAACTAATGTTAGTATGAAATATTTTGATAAATGCAATAATTTCCATTAAATACATAACCATGAAACAATCATGAAGGTTGCAATAAACAAGCATCTAAGTCATGCTGCAGAAGTAAACACCATGAACTAAACAGGTTAAGGGTCAATCATAAGTCAAAAACTTTAAAAAGAAATTAAACAGAATAACAGGAAAGAAGATCAAAATCCTGGATCCAAATGGCAGTATGCTCTAGTGAAATCGAATCTAGCAATACTTGCCCATGTTTAGCTAGGCAATCTATCCAAGCCTTTGGCCAAGCAACGTAGCCCCGGCATAACCAAAACAATTATTTAAAGATCGCGATGTGGGTATTGTCAGAAAAATTACACACGCTCTCTGACTGGAAATTTTGATCATAAATCAATGTTATCTGATACATTACTGTCACGTGCTAACTTCTATTTTATAAAATGTAAATTTTCTTAGTTCGTCCAACGAGTTTCCAAAATTTAGTGAAGCACTTTAAGTCTTTCGTGGTCATCTGCACTAATTACTAGTCTCTCTTTGATTGATCAGGTGTTATATTTTGTCAATTAGGGAATACAAAAAGCGGATGCAGATTGTTGAGTTCTTTATAGATTTGATTGTTAAAATCATAGGAAGAGAAAAATAGCGAGCTTAAAATAATTAAGAGAGGTATTGTCCAGCTTCAATTCGATTTTTCTAGAATGGTAGAAACGGCACTACGGTAGAGTAAAATATTTGGATAAAACTTAAGTCAATTTAATTAAGTTGGCTTTGAATTGAAAATTGAAAATAGGAAAACCATATTTTTGGGTTTGAACTAAATTAATTACTTAGCAAATTTATTTAGAAAAAATAAAATAATTGACTTAGTTAAAATAAATTAATTACAAAAATCAGGGTGATTTAGTTATTCGATTCTTGATCTGGAATCGAAAATCGACCCAAACCCATTGGTATTCGATTCAGATACTCGTTCGGGTATTTAATTTAAGAAAAATCGCTCGATTCAGATACTCGTTCAGGTATTTAATTTAAGAAAAATCGCTCGATTTTGTTCGGGTTCAGGTTCAGTTCGGTTTGAAAGTTTTGTCCAGCCCTATTATGATCTAACTCTATAGCTCACCTCTCGATTCGTAATAGATCTACAAAATCATTGAATAATTGGCCAAATGATTCAAAGCATTAAGTACATAATTAAAATCACACATACATTTAAAGAATTTGAATCTTAAATAAAAGAAATAAAGGATCATATATAGATTACATTATTTGACCTACCTATAAATTTAGCTACCCATAGAAAGAAAAACAAAAAGTATAGAGTTCGTAATCGGATTTTGAAATCCTAATTATGGAAAGAATTCGATCTTG